AGCTCTGCAGAGAAGGACCTGGGAGTGCTGGTGGACAACAAGTTAAACATGAGCCAGCAGTGTGCCCTTGTGGCCAAGGCGGCCAATGGTCTCCTGGGCTGCATTAGGCAGAGTGTTGCCAGCGGGTCGAGGGAGGTGATCCTGCCCCTCTCCTCAGCCCTGGGGAGGCCTCACCTGGAGTACTGTGTCCAGTTCTGGGCTCCCCAGTCCAAGAGAGACATGGCACTCCCGGAGAGAGTCCAGCGGAGGGCTACCAAGATGATTAGAGGACTGGAGCACCTCTCCTAGGAAGAAAGACTGCAAGAGCTGGGCCTGTTCAGCCTGGAGAAGAGAAGATTGAGAGGCGATCTCATCAACGTGTACAAGTATCTGAAGGGGGAGTGTCAAGAGGATGAGGCCAGCCTCTTCTCCGTGGTGCCCAGCAACAGGACAAGCGGCAATGGGCAGAAACTGAACCACAGGAAGTTCCATCTGAACCTGAGAAAAAACTTCTTCACTGTGAGGGCATTGGACAGAGCATTGGAACAGGTTGCCCAGAGAGGTGGTGGAGTCTCCTTCCCTGGAGATATTCAAAACCCGTCTGGATGTGATCCTGGGCAATATGCTCTAGGTGACCCTGCTTGAGCAGGGAGGTTGGACTAGATGATCTCCAGAGGTCCCTTCCAACCTAAAGGATTCTGTTTTTCATTTAATGTAAAAGTTGGATATAAGGATAATAAGCATGATAATTTCAATAATGGCTGCTGCAGTTCTACATGTGTGTGATGCTGGAATTCACTTGCCAAAAGCAGTGATTTGAGCGTGATCCAAGGTGTTCATGCTTCTTTTTGAACTACTCCTTTTCAATTTTCTATGTGTAGCTGCATAGCAGTTCTTTCAGCAATAGGGATGGACCTAAAATAAAATTTCTCATTTGGATCTTAATTTTCCTCATATTTAGGGTTCTGTTTAAGTTTGAAGCTCTCTCTGAGTCCCATCGTAAGATTTCTTTTGTGAAGTTCTATTCCAGTTCTAAATTTTTCCCAGGTTGGAC